ATTTTATTTTTAAAAAATATATTTTATATTTACACATTTTTATTTTTTATATTTTTACAAAATCTATTATTTATATATCTTTACGTAAATATTAACTTTCTAAACCTACAAATTATTTTTCAAGTTTATTGTATTCAAAACTTAATTATAAACTTAAATATTTACTATCTATTTCCTTAATCTCTAAATTTTTTAATAAATACATAAAATATAACTAATTCGTAAATGCAAAACACTTTTCATCATTATCGTAATGAAAAACATAAAACAACGAAATTAAAGGCCACTCCAAAGTGTTCAAGTCAGGTAAATACAAGCTTTGTTGGAGAAACCAACTTTATACCGATTGAAATAGACACAACTTTCATGCCCCTCACTGTCTCTCTTCTTTGTCCTCATCGCCAAAGGCAAAACCAGAACAAGAACATGTAGTTGTAGTATGTATGTCAGTCCTCAAATCAGTATACGAACAAAGGTAAATAGTACCATCTGCTAGTTTTCTCAGTTCATTTATTGACTCTTGAGTTGATATAAAAAACGGGTCATCTTTGTTGACTCCTGGCAGCTGAGGATATATCATAGATTTGTATTACACTGTGTGAATGGAAATGAGGATTCTTAGTGCTTCACCAAACCAAAGTGGCAACATCTTTGAGCGTGTGCATTAATATTAAATATTCTATAGAGATAAAACATCATAGTGCTTGACCAGTGCAGGTGTCACGGATTGAGATTATTAACATTTTTAATTTGTAGACTTAGCTGATAAACATATTCCTTCCTTATGACAAACAGCATTATGTTTGGATTAGCTTTATTTTTTTTTTCTTATGATAGAAAAAACCTTTTGGATATAACATATGATTTGAAAATTTTCTTTAAACAAAACCAACCTGATAAACACAATTTCCCTAAACTAAAACACCTGGGTAGAACATCCCCCTGCTATAAGATTTTGATGATCCCCCATATGGGCCTTCGGTTGGTCAGACAGCCAAAATCATCGTGGTAAACTACAAAGACTAAAATGGTGGCAAGCTTAACAAGTTCATAGAGCCATAAACCAATAATAGAATCAAACTCAATGCATCTATGTTAGCATGTCCACAAAGGTTAGATTATTAAGTTGAACTCGAAGGTGATTTTTGGGCTACAATCTCTACTTGGTTAAATTACTTTCCTATCAATCAGACACAATGAAACATTTACCTAACCCCAGACAACCCACCAACCAATCATATATATATTGGGAAGAGAAAAAGTTAAAGGCCAGGGTTGGCTACCTCTTTCCAAGGCAAGGGCACGGACCTTGGCAAAGGCAACCAATGAAATAATTAATGAGAAAAATACAAGCTATGCATACGCTCCACCATCTTCTTTATGCATGAGTGGCTGTGGGCCTGAAACAATCGATGTTGCACAATCCAACAGATCTCACCATCTCCCCAAAGCTGCAACCACAAAACAGAAAAGTGAGGTCAAAAAACATCATCAAATGCATCATTTTAATACACTAAAATACACTGAACAAGGTTTGTATCTGACCGGTCAATACTATTTCTAGCTTTTTCAGGTATATCTGCTCCATGATATGCCTTCTCAGGGCGATCTATACTCTTTCTTGATTTATCTCTCCTGTCTATGCTGGCTCTTGACTTCTCTTTATGGTCTGTGACTGTGCTTGCACCAGGNAAAAAAAAAGAAAGGAAAACATAGCGTTCATTTTTACAATATTTTTAGGTCTAATTCATGATTTTAACACCACTCATTTTCATTTTTATACACCCTATTTTGTTTTACTACTAGAAACGGTTCAACCCATTTTTCTTAACATTCACACCCTTTACTTTTATTCTTCACAACTTTTAGAATTTTGGGCCGGTTGTTATATTCTCACATCTATATTTTCTTTAAATGTTTCACTCTGCATCTTTTCACATTTCTCTCTATACTTTCACATCCTAAAAATAATATTTTTCAATGAATTTTGAAATTTTAAAAATTCATTTAAATTTGAAAAAAATCCTTTAATAAATTTTAAAATAAACTGAAGAAAAAAATCTTCCAACAAATTTTAAAATCCATTAAAAAATCATTCAACATATTTCAAAATTTTGTTAAAAGATTTTTTAAAAACTTCAATAAATTTTAAAATCTTAAAATTTTTTTTAACAAATTTCAAATTTTGTTAAATTTTTTTTTCAACATATTTTAAAATCCATTAAAGAAAAAAAGAAAAAAAATATAATGTAGGATTTTTGAAATGTAAAGGATAGTTTTAAATTTTATAAAAATGTGGAAAGGTGTAGAAAGAAACATTCATTTTCCTTTTGCATCTCTCACAAATCCTCTTGACCGCCATGATTTAAAAATTTCACATTTTTTTTATTAGACCGATGTAAAATACATGTTCTATCTATATCTTTCTATATCTTTAAAAGATTCATTTTGAGAGAAGAGTTGTTTTTCATAGGTGAACAATATTAGTCGAATATATATGTTAATATACTGATTAGGAATCTAACAACATCTAGACGAATTTATCAATATATTAATTAAATTAATCTAACAATATATATTAAATCAATTTATTTTTTAACAAATTTATTCTACATATTTTTTTATATATTTTATTTTTAAAAAATATATTTTATATTTACACATTTTTATTTTTTATATTTTTACAAAATCTATTATTTATATATCTTTACGTAAATATTAACTTTCTAAACCTACAAATTATTTTTCAAGTTTATTGTATTCAAAACTTAATTATAAACTTAAATATTTACTATCTATTTCCTTAATCTCTAAATTTTTTAATAAATACATAAAATATAACTAATTCGTAAATGCAAAACACTTTTCATCATTATCGTAATGAAAAACATAAAACAACGAAATTAAAGGCCACTCCAAAGTGTTCAAGTCAGGTAAATACAAGCTTTGTTGGAGAAACCAACTTTATACCGATTGAAATAGACACAACTTTCATGCCCCTCACTGTCTCTCTTCTTTGTCCTCATCGCCAAAGGCAAAACCAGAACAAGAACATGTAGTTGTAGTATGTATGTCAGTCCTCAAATCAGTATACGAACAAAGGTAAATAGTACCTTCTGCTAGTTTTCTCAGTTCATTTATTGACTCTTGAGTTGATATAAAAAACGGGTCATCTTTGTTGACTCCTGGCAGCTGAGGATATATCATAGATTTGTATTACACTGTGTGAATGGAAATGAGGATTCTTAGTGCTTCACCAAACCAAAGTGGCAACATCTTTGAGCGTGTGCATTAATATTAAATATTCTATAGAGATAAAACATCATAGTGCTTGACCAGTGCAGGTGTCACGGATTGAGATTATTAACATTTTTAATTTGTAGACTTAGCTG